AAATCGTGTAATTGCATAATTACAAAATGTTTAATATCTAAAAAAATACATTAAATTAATTGACTTTCTTTTTTCCAGGTTTTCAGATAAAACATTTAGCATTCTTGACACCATTTTTCGTATGAATCACTGAAAAACCCTTTCAGTTATTCAGCTAAAAAACAGGTTAAAATTGTTTTATGCCAGACCCACTATCTAACCAAATGAGCAATGGTGATAGGAAAAAGATCATCCAATCCTTAAGTAATGTTACCAACATTCATACTTTGACTCCCATTTTCAAAATCCATTCAAGAACCATCAAGAGAACAGTGAATAAGTTTAAAAAAGAGGGAACAGTAGAGGGGAAAACTGGATCAAGGGGTCACAACAGGAAGAGGGTGCACCTGACCAGTTCCTTTCACGCATCTGGGTTAAAAAGCTTGCTAGTTAGTTATTTATGCTGATCATGTCTCGGTGGATAAAATCGTTGATTGGAGTCATCCAGTGACATCAAGAGTTGTGAGTTCTAGTCACTGCAGAGGTGAACAAAAACTTGAAGTTTTGAGTTACTAAAGGGAAATTAAACTGAGATATCCAGAGAAGGCATGGCCCTTGAAACGAGAACAATCTACTCCAATGGACTAAATGAAGGTGTAGGTCCGAAATTCTAACGTAAATCTCCTGTGGGAAGGCCGCAGCGTACAACGGCCAAAATGGCGTAAATATGAAAATAAAGATCAGGAGAACAGTCTGAACAATGTGAATAGTGCAAATAATTTCTCCTTCATGAACTCCAACGTGAAAATCACATGAATCGCATCTAACAGTTCTGTGAAAACAGTTCAGCTCAATGGACCTTGGTTTGATGTTAAAATCTAAATTCATAAAGGAACACTTCACTATTTATAAAACAATGCCCTTCAAAAACAGTTTGATTATGTAAATAATATGGTTCTTTGTTTTTATCAATTCGCTCCAAGCAAGGCGATAATACCATTAAGACACAACGTTTGAAGGAACCGGAAACCAGATGCTAAACAAATAACAAGGGATAAATCCACTACTCCTGTTCAAAGTGTAACGCATCATTATTACAAATTCGAACTTGACGTGGGGGAAAAATAAACTTATTTTACAACCAGTACGTTTTCGCAAATTCGAGCTGGCTCTGGGATCCAATCTACTACAACCCAAAGGATTCCGAAAACTAGTAATAAGACAATTCCCTATAAATAAGTCAAACGTTCTGCGTCAAACGATCTTTATTTATATGTTTTCGTAGGTGCAATTATTTTCATAGAATAGTCAACGTTGAATTTTATGAAAAACATCGTTTTTAACTCCCGTTTTTTTAACAAGAGAAACTTCAATGGATGTTTCCTGATGGCTGACTAAACTAGCTGTCATGGAACAATATCAATTTGCCAACGTTTGCGTTTAGTTCAAGCCAGGATTTCGATTGCTGAATGTGAGAAGAAACAGCTTTTTACGTTTGATCGGCGCAACATAGTCTTCCAACTGTGGATCTAAGCGTAGTGTTGTGGTTATCGACACAAAAGGTGGGTGTGACTTGTCGAATTCCGGCCGATGTCGTTGAATTTACTTTCGCACATACGCCTTTGGGAAAGGAACTAATATACCTTTCCTTCCACTTGATATGACTTAAATAGCAGGACAGAAAAGGGCTCTTAAACTTTAGCTGCCAACCAGTCTAGGAGCAGGATGAGAATAACTCAATTCAAAACTGGTTCGGTGCGGCGCTTGCAATTAATTCTATCTCTTAACAAGCCTACTTATTACAGAAACAGCGGACGCAATACCAGAGAGGTGAGGCTGTGGTCCAAAATTCTCTATTCTCTATACTTTTCTTTCATTCTTGCAACTTCCCTATAGCGTTGAGTATTCCTATACCCAATGCTTTTACCTGATTTTGTTGAGTTTGTTTTTTTAAGCCAAAGGGCACTTTCCTTAGGCTCAATAATCGCTGATGTTAGCATCCAGGATAGTGGCTCTCCAGTGGGATTGTCTCTAGTTGTTGAAATCGATCTGGGGGGGTTGTATGTTTTACTGACATAGTATCTGTATTTTCATACAGCTTCCGCTATCTGAGTTTCGAATGCATAATTGTCCTTCCCTTAGACTGGTTACCAACCAGGGCTAAAAAACCCAGTCTTTTCTGCTATTTAACAAATAATTTTGTGGGGTAGATAGAAGATGGGATGGATTAATACCATTCCCGGATGTATTTGTGCGCAAGCGAATTCAACAAAGTCAATCGGAACTTGAACTCGGCGAGCAAAATATCCTTTACTAAAGTTTTCGCTATCAAAATATGATGACGTCACAAGTAGGTGTCTAAACGAAAGTCGACCAATACTTGATTTCTCCTTCTTCTTCTGTTTTATGCCGTCTAGAGCAACGTGAAGAGGCGTCGTCAGCATGAGCTAATAGTTAAGAAACTGATTCATTATGTAATCTATGACGTCTCAGCGTGGGATAAATCTTAGCTAATCTGATTGACTGAGTAGATAGTTCGATCTTCACTGGCTTCCCCATACCAAATTCGACATTAAATAACCCAACAACGTCCTCAATACAAGTAGATAGGTTCGCCTATCGCCCAGTTTACACTACTCCGCGGTGTTTTGAACAGGAGTAGAGGTTTATTCCTTGCTCTCTATTTAGGGTCGAGTTTCCTGTTCTTTCTAAAATCTTTTCATTCTCTGTCACACTCAGCGTCTTAGTTGCATTGTTACAATGCTTGGGGCGAATTGATTAACAAAAGACCTATAAATTCAACCTATCCAGCCATCATTTCCAGGAACTCGTAAAAAATTATTTGTCTTGTTTCCCACATAAAATTTTGTTTTTCAAAATCTACACATAAGTTGACAAAACGTTTGTTGTAAAAATCTAAATAAATTACGCAATTGAATATTATAATCACTTGTTCAAATTTATTTTCTTTTATAAGCTCAACTTTGACAATCCAATTAAACCCGATTCAGTTATACACTTATGGCTTTGCCCCGTAGTCAGCCAACCTTAGCCAATATTCTTAATACATCGGCAAGTATGTGACGTGACCGAATTCAAAAAACATCCTCAGTTAACTGTCAGTAGTAAGGAAAAATCTGCGAGAACAGCAAGATCAATTTTTGAAATAATTCTCAAGTACTTCGGATGTGCTAATTAGCGACCAGATTGTTCCCCAAAAATAAAATGAATGACACAACGAAATGCATGTTCTTTTGCAATCCCCTTGCCCCAGAAAAAATTGAGAGTCTAATTAGATGATATAAACAGCACAAGAATAATGTAGTGAAAAGATACCGTTGTCATAGACATTAACGTTAAAACCATTCTGGAGATACATTCTTCCTCCTATTCTATTCGCAAAATTTGATTCTTAAGAATATTTCTTCTCGCCGGGTGAGCTAACGGAAGAATGGTCTATTCTCCCATTTGCGTTTCCCCCTATATTATATCTATGATATAATATCAACTAATTTCACTGACGGAACAATAGCAACCAAAGAGTAAAAAGAGAACGAAAAAATAGTCTTACATGTAATAATTCCCAACGAGAATTGAGTCTGCCGGAGATTCTTCTGTGTTTTTGGAGAAGCCCTATTTAGGACCCCAGATTCGAGCGAGTCAGATTTATCTGCCATGTCGCCATCAAGAACAAACAGAAATGGCGCGTCCTGGATATATTTCCTATATCTGGTGAAGTTATATTTACATAGGAAAACGGCTCCATCGACTTGTAAGTTGCACCACGTGGCTGGGGAAAGGCAGATTCAGTCTCAGACTGGGCTGATGGACCCGGACTGAAAAAGCAACTGCGCAGTTTGACTCCTGGAAGTTGACTGACTGACTGACCACTTTTATCACGCTATAAAGTGACGTCAATAAGTAGTCGTAACGGGGCCCACGCGACTTCATCTCGGCCATAAAGAAATAATCACCTTTTGTATCCCTACAAACGTATATAGTGAGTCGAATCTGAGCGAATTCATTATTAGTGGCCATAACAACATAAGATATGCAGATGATACAATGTTCATAGCAAACATAGAAAAGAAACTATGAGAACTTCTGCAGAATGTAGTAGAGGGAGCAAGAAGAACTGAATGAGCATCAATTGCAGGTTAGGAAGTGTTTTAACAGAGGACGAGAAGTGCGACACAGAAATCCGAACGCGCACTGGGATAGCGAAAGATGCCTTCCAGAAGTTAAGCAAAGTGTTAAAAAACGGAGAAAAAAAATTACGTTAGAAACAAATAAAAGGGTACTAAATGGTTACGTAATATCATTACTCCTATCCACTATAAGATGTGGCGCAAGGCCAGTTTTTAATGTGAGGCATCCCGACTCGGGCAAAAATTGCAAGTAGACCCCGTATACACGCGGACTGGTTTGTCTATCTCCCCAAACGAGACTCTACTTTTCAGCCTAACCTCATCTGGGTTCCTCTCCGCCCGCAGGCAGAGAGTTCGACAAGAGAGGAAGAGGAAGCGAAAGCCTCCTCCTATCATTACTTCTATATGGCAGTGAATGCTGGGTAATCTCCTCACAGATGACGAAGAGACTTGAAAAAACAGAAATATTGTTCTACAGAAGGATGCTGAGAACATCATGGACCGAACTGTTGAAGAGAAAATATAAAGAAAAAGGCACTTATGCTTAGGTGAGACAGTTTCTAAGGCACAATATGTAGAAAGAGTGCTTGGAAAATATGATACTCACAAGACAAGTTAAAGGTAAGAGGGACAGGGGAAAACAACGCTTAACCTGCCTAGAAAGGCAAAAAGGCAACTTTTATTAAGAGCTGCAAATGACAGGAAATTGTGGAGAGCCATGATCGCCAACATCCGGAAGGGACGCAGCATATAGAGAAGATGATGATCAGATAAATGTAGCATAATTTTTATAAATTTCTTTTCATAACACCATCTTGCTTCAGTACATAGGCGATCATGGCTCCGTGCAGATTCTATCTTGGGAGAGATGGCTTACAGCCATATCACGTTGAAACACCGATTCTCGTGCGATCACCGAAGTTAAGCAACGTTGAGCCTGATGGGAGACCGCTTGGGAATACCAAGTGCTGTATGATTGGATGGGCGGGTAGTGTGATCGATAATGGATGGGCAGATGGTGTAATGGCTCGGAATCGTTAATCGAATAGCCAAGTTCGATTCCATCTGGGTTCGTTATATTCATTTCTTACGCGCAAATACACTTAGGAAAGGTATGAATCCACCTCTTCTCCCCATCTATGGATTAATTAGTAAATTTGTATCACTACAAATATTTTTATCTACCTCCGACACAAAAAAAAAATTGCGTGCAAAATAAAAGGTTTTTGGCATTAAATAATAAAGATATTAATATGCAGCTAAACAAAAAACAACTAACCAATAATCTACCTTGAGTAGCTCTTCAGCCGTGTATTGGGTGAACGCTAGTTAAAAAATGTAAGTTTGGGAAATATTGCGAAGATTTAAAATCATAAAATGTAAAATTTTGAACTGAAAGTAAAAAAAACAGCATCTCTTCTGGAAGACCTCAAAATTTAAAAACCTCTGAACTAGAGTAACTTTCTGAATATGATGCTGCACAAGCAAATACTTAAACTTCCAGAAAACGTACAAATGAACAAGTTAGCTGTTGTAAATTGTTCCCAAGCTTTAGAAAATGATCAAACACCAAGAAAAAGCGTCCCGCGCGAACTCATATATCAGTCGATGTTTACACCCTTGTCTTTCTCTTTCTTGCTCGAGAACATAAAAATGTCAACTGTGGACAAGATATTTACTAGAGATGAAAAAAGGATTTATTACAAGAATTAAGAATATCATGGCTAGATCGGGAACAGCCTTCAACACCTACGCTTACATGGTATCTGCTGGGAAAATTACTTGTGTCTGACGAAATTCACAAAGAGATTCTTTATATTTTATAAATTCACATAAGGCGAAATCTCGTCTACGTGTCCTCATAACTAAAATCAAACAAGGAATGAAATTGAAATATTTACCAGAGGACGGAAAGTGCAATACAGAAATCTGAATGGGCACTGGGCTAGACAAAGATATATTCCAAAAGGTAAGCAGAGTATTAAAAAGGAGAATGATTTCTTTGGAAACAAAGAAAAGAGTACTGAACTGTTACGTAGCATCAGTCTTCCTATGTGGAAGGGAATGCTGGGTAATTTCATCACAGATGAAGAAGAAACTAGAAGCAACAAATGTGTGGTTCTACAGAAGAATGCTGAGTATACGGTGTTTTAGAGAAAATGGAAACAAAAAAGGACACTTATTTAGCATCAGGAGAAGACATTTGAAATTTCCAGGGTAAATAATGAGAAAAGAAGGCTTGGAAAATCTTAAACTCACAGAAAATAGCGAAAACAAGAGTGACAAAAGAAAACAACGCATAACCTACTTATTGAGCTTGAGTAAATTGAAGGTGCAAGAAGGAGAAATAACAAAAAGACAATTTTTTTAAGACCAATGAAAGACAGGAAATTGTGGAGAGCTATGATCGCTTAAGTGTGAAGGAACACAGCACATAAAGAAAAAGAAGTCCCAACTTACATGGATAGAAGAAAATAGACCGCAGTATTAACAGGCAATGAATACGAACCAGATTTTCATCGATTTCTAAAGAAGAGCTCCAAATAATGGCCATTCACCCACGCCAATGGCAAGAAAACCCAACTGGATCACATCCTGATAAACAAAAAGTGGAAGAATAGTCCAAGGAATTGCCAAGACATTTAAAGAAGTATCTTCAGACTATCGGATTGTCTCTTCCTCCATCTGACTTTGCCTTAGGTCCGATAGGGAAAAAAAACAGTCCACTTCCCCACCATGTGAGTGGTCTCTTCTAACAAGAAACAGTCATCTCAAAAAGCAGTATACCATTGCAGTCAGAAATAAGTTTGAAATACAACAAGCAGATACCAAGGAACCATCTCATATTACAATCTACTTATGTTACTTCTCATGAAAAGGCTGCAATAGATGCCATATCCTTAAAACTTAAACATCGGCAACACATTCCTTGGGAATCAAGTAGCTTTGAATCCCAAAGGGTTAATGCGAAAGAAAAAGCCGTCATAAGCTTTTCAAATCCTTCATCTGTCCAAGACTCTAAAGCGCTTGCTCAACTCAACAACTCTTATGAAAATCAACATGCTGAATACATCCAAGAAAAAAATTCGGTTTATCAACTCTGCTGGGGACAACAAAAAATCTGCTCTTGCTTAAAAAACTGTCAACGAGATTAGGGACAGACAACAAATAAATCCAAGTCAAAGGTCAATAGCCAGGCTGAATAAATGGTAAGACTATTTAAAAAAAAAAAAAAATTGGAAAATGAACCTGGTATTTTAGATACTGAGGTCGAGCAAATCATTGAACATCCTCTTGACAATAAACCTGGAAACTTACAGAGGAAGATCTTGAAACATTTTAAAAAAACACCAGAAATCGATACTGGAAAGGGCGATAACTGTTACTGGACTTGAGAAACCGATTTTCCTGAAAAAATTGTTTTTATAGAAAGATTTTATAAATTTTAACCAAAAGTAGCACTGGCTGCTCGCTAAATGAATGTCGAATGTCTCCTTATCAGGAAAAATTATCAAGTTGAGCCTACCAATGAAAACGAACGAAACATTGGTCGACTAACACATGCCTGGTATCTCAGCTTCAGTCCCTTTCCAACAGCCGTAACGTAGCTTCTCTGTGCTATTTTCTATAAATACTTGCTTTAACTATCTCAACATCCTGTATGTATGTTCAGTACTCGCAGATAGGTCATCATTTTGCAATTGAAACGACCAGATGGTCGGCCAACACATGTCTTTGCAGGAAAAAGACTCCAAAAATGATAAAAACGAATGAAATGTCATCTGTTGCTGCAAACCTATTCTGACGTCGACTAACACGCCTGAATAACAAAGAAGAGAAACGAACTCAAGATTACGAACATATGAAATGATCTCGTTGACCATTGAAAAGACGAATGACATAAACCGTCATGTTTTTATGACATAATCATAACAAAACCCGATGAGACATTGTCCACTTCACAGTTTCTGGGCAGAATGAGTAAATTCTAAAGGTGCATGTTTAAAAGGTTATATCGGGATTTTCCCCATAAAGAAAATAATATTCATTGACCACACTTTAACCGCACAATAAAAACTGACACCTTACTCACTGGGCTTACGGTCATATCACGTTGAAACATCAGTTCCCGTACGATCAACGAAGTTAAGTAACGTCGAGTCAGGTCAGTACCGAGATGGGTGACCGTTTGGAAATGCCAGGTGCTATAAGCTTGTGTAAAAGATAACGGCTCCGAATTGGAAATCGGAAAGCCGTGTTCCAATTCCTTTCGGTTTCACTTACTCGCAGATACTCTTTGGAAAGATGTGAATCCATCACGTCTCCCCCACCCCTGCTATAGGTTAATTAGTAGGACTTGTATCAGTAAATCATTATTATTTCCAAAAATGATTAGAATCTAGAAGTATTGTCTGGCTTTAAATAATCTGCAAAAGTTTGACAAGTTGTCAAAATGCAAACCAACCAATAAACCTTACTCGGTATGAAACTGAAACACAAAGAAACTGTTTGTTTACAATAAATTGTTGTGTGAAAAGAAAGATAGGCATTGTTGTAGCATACCTACGGACGATAATGGGTATGTCCTCGTTCACATAAATAAAGTAGTAAATACTGTATGTTGGTCTGCAGTTGGAGATCGTCTCCAGCTGTGCTGTTCAAAAAACTCTGCCTCTGTACATAGAGGATCCCCAGACGAGGCTATGTCGAAAGGCAGAGTCTTGTCTCGGGAAACAGTTATTCAACCCCGTTCTATACGAGGTCTACGGGGAATTTTTGGCCGAGCCTACACGCTCGGATACCTCACATCAAATTCGGCTTTGTGCTACATCTGATTGCGTGGGGTGGTTGGTAGATATCCTGCAGTCGGAGATTCGTCTCCAGATGTGCTGGTCAAACTATCTGCCTCCGGGCAAAGAGGATCCCCACACAAGGCTATGAAGAAGGGCAGCGACTCATCTCGGGAAACAGCTACCCGACCCCGCTTTATATGGGGTCTACAGGGAATTTTTATCCGAGCTTACGTGCTCGGATGCCCCACATTAAATTCAGCCTTGCGCCACATCTGACCGCGTGGGACGGTTGGTAGATTTCCTACAGTTGGAGATTCATTGTGGAATTCACTTGACTCACTTCTACGCGCCGTTGGTGAATCTTGTCCTAAGTGTTATCGTTCATTACCAATCTTCGTGTGGTTATTCTATTCAGTAACCTTCCCTAGATTACAACAGATATGCACATTGCTCAAAATATTTGTTTGAGAACGTAAAGATAAAGAAAAAAAAATTAATGAGGTACTGACCAAAAATTAGTAGCAGACGTTCTAAAATCAGTCACAAAGAGAATACAGCATCTGCAATGTTCCAGAAAAGGCGTCTTCTTTTTTCACAAGCGTTTCCAGTGCCATTACACTGTTATTAGAGTGGATTAAATTTTTTGACGTATTTGTTCAATCAGTCCTACCTATGATAGCAGCGTCTGCATAAACAGCTATTTTAGAATATCGGGCGCATTCAAATATAAGAATTTGTTGCAGCTTTGTAATAAAACAAAGGAAGAAGGATGATGCATTAAAATATAAGGAAGAATATATGCGGGCGGGCGTGTGTGCTTATAAAATAGAAAGCAGAGAAGAGCAAATGGATGAGAGGGACTTTTCAGATCATTTCGAAACTTCTCAACCTTTTAAAACGAATCCATCCAGCTGTCAAAAAAAGAAATCTGCTTTATAAAATGTGATCGAATTTTTTTTTTTTTCCTCGTTTTATTTTTCTTAGGTTTATTGAGAAACATCTGTCAGTTTCGCAAGCGAACACTCTCCGGACCACGAAAACCACCACTGCTTTTAAATGCCCTCCATATTTGGCCTTGTACCAAAACTGACTCTGTCCAAAAATTCCGTAATGATAGACAGACATCGATTTTTTTTCTTTCCTATCGAGTCGCGGATACGTTCTCCGATCGGAAATATCAAAGTCTCTACAACTAAGGTTACCTATAATGGCAATGATGCAATAGTAACATCTCAATCGAAAACTGTGCTCGCGGTGCTCAAAAGACCACAAAGAAATATCTATAACAGATAAGAGAATGCTGAGTTACTTGAGTCGACGAAGGGAGCCAATCATAGCATCAAAAGGGTCCTTCTCCAATAAGAACATTTCCATCCCCGACCCTGAAGCCTGGGTAAAAGCATCAAATGTATCTTTTGAGCTGAGGAAGAAATCTTGGTTACGTCAAATGCAACTGGGGGGTAGATACCTTGATGTGTTGGAAAGTTTGAAAAATTGACTTGGACAAAATGGGGAATTCATCCTATGAAGGATAAGAAAGAAAGAAAGAAAGAAAGAAAGAAAGAAAGAAAGAAAGAAAGAAATTGGGAATGGATGAAGGGACAGATAGAAAAATTTAAGGAAAAGAAAGAAACAAACTGAGACAGAATAATACAGGAAATCAAGGAACATAAGTAAGAAAGAAGAAAAGAAAATATACAAGAACAGAAAGAAAGAAATAGTAGCTGTATTAGGAATAAAAGAAAGAAAGGGTAAACATATTAGAAGAAAAAGAGAATTGTGAAAAAAGAAAGAAAGAATAGTAAATCTATTAAAAGAGAATCGTGAGAGAAAGAAAGACTAAACATATTACAGATGAAAGAAAGAAAGAAAGAAATTAAAGAAAGAAAGAAAGAAAGAAAGAAAGAAAGAAAGAAAGAAAGAAAGGGAACAGATTAATTGCAAAGAGAAAAAAATTCACCACAAAAGAAAAAAAAATTTAAAACGATTTCATATTCTGGAAAACATCTGTAAGAATTTCGATAAATATTCACCAAGATAATTGTTTTGTGAGCGATAGAATGAAATGATTCATACTAATCTTTTACATATGTACCCCGTTCAATTCAATAGGTTTCGAAAAAAAAACTTTCGAGATATAACAGGGGCGATTTTGTAGGATTTCGCTTTAAATAAAAAGAAATTTTAAACGTCATTTTCTCCTCTTGCGTTTCTTCAGTCTTATGAAATGAAAGAAAGACGTTAAAAATATTTCTTGAATGCTGAACGGATTGAATTATCGCCTGATCGGTGGTGTGTCATGGCGGGTCTTTTTTGGCATCAAAGAACAAAATTATTTCGTGCTGCCCACCGCCTTCCAAATATCAGTTTATATGCTGGGTAAGACAAAATGAAAAAAAAAAGTATTAGTGACGCGTTTCGTTCCCAGAAGGAACTTCTTCAGATTAATAACGATTTTTATTATAGAATCAGTCTGATACCCCCCAAAAAAATAAGAAGAGGAGGAAGTCAGAGACGCAATACAATAAGTAACGATTGCAGTACACGTCGAAAAGGTAAAGATAAATTTAAATAGTGATGTCCAGAGCATCTAGATGCTTAGCTTAGTCAATCTCATTCAACATTTTATTAGTTTGTTTTTTACTTTTTTATCGTTATTGCTGTTAAGTACTTCTGTGAGTTGTATGATCCTGGGTGTTAATTTACCGTCGAGGATACTGAAATTTGTGCTCTTTCAAAACACTTTAATATATTTATTCTTCATTTTCTTAAGCTGAAATTACCATCAAATCTAGCGTATATACTCGCGTATAACGCGCGTTTTATGATCATTTTTTTTTTATGCAAAAATAGGGGTCGCACTATACATAGGTAATTTTTAAGAGGTTGAAAATCATACGTTTTCAGTGATTTTGATTTTTGATTTCCACTTGTAGTTAAGTATATTACCTTCAGCTGCGGGTGCCTCTTTCATTCTGTTTTAAACGAGTTCACCCCCAAGCAAGGCAGTAAAGCCACTAAGACATGATGGGTAACTGAATATTAGAAGAATTAGAAAACAGAAACATTACTAAGGAGCGTGAACAAAGTAAGAGAAATCAGAAGGACAGCAGATAACGATTGACATTTCATTTAAATTTTTGCAGATTAAAGTTGGCTGGAAAACATGGAATCAGAAGACAGTTCCACAAGCGAGAAGTGCAAGAAAAGAAAATATTAGCCTAGAACTTACAGTTACGCCAAGTTTTCTAATAAAATAATTTTCTTGTTAAAACATTTTGTCACTTTTGGTCTTCATTTTTATTCTCTCCTTATGCAGTTCATTGGTTTTTGATCGACACAAAACTTCCTCTGATTTTTCTCATAAAGGCTATATACATCTCACTTGGGCGTAGTGTCTTATATTTTGTCAGTAATTTCCTAGCAAGCTCAAGAAGTAGACATTATCCATATGGCCAAGTAAATACGGATTTTTTTCTGTTTCTATCCTCTTATATTCGTCATAAATTATACAGTCCTATATACAAGAGTGTTTGGCTCTGTCAGGATACCTTGCCAAAGGTACACCACTACTCTCCAGGTTGGTTTTAATTAAGAGTTTTTCTTCTTCTAGACTGGTTGCTACAAAACGTAATCTGTCCTGCTATTTACCCATAGATGTGAATTCATACCTTTACCAAGAGTATCTGCGCGTAAGTGAATGTAATAAACTCAACTGAAATTCTGTTGTGGAGTTATTTCACAGTGGAGGCTTGTATTTGTACTAAATCGGTCCTAAAATAGGTTCGACGGACAAAACGTTAGGAACTTGATATAAGAGATATTACGCAGAGTAATCTTATTGTGGTCGCTGACTACTTTCGTATTCGACTAACTGTCGTCCGACATCGACGCTATTTAGTAACTTCCCCACAAGAACGCATGTGGGGTTCACATGTAGGCGCATAAACAGGAAAGACAAAATTCTGCTTCGTGGAGTTCCTCTCTGCCTTCGGGCAGAGAGTTCGACTGTCGTCTGACATCGACTAGTATTTAGTCACCCCCCCACGTGGGCATCATGTGGCACAAGGCCGGTTTAACGTGGGATCTCCGAGCCCGTGGGATCGGCCAAAAATATATCCTTTGAACCCGCATAAACGGGTTCAGGGTCGGTTTACCTCACCGAACGAGACTCCACCCTTCGGCATAGCCTCGTTCGGGTTCCTCCCCGCCCGAAGGCAGAAAGTTCAACCGTTCAGCCGGTCGTCCGACATCGACTGACCCACGTTTCTCTAACTACTCCTTCTTATATTATGTGGGAGTGTCTATTAACTATATAATATGTGTGTTTCACCATAACAAATTCGAACTCGGCTCTCCGATTTCCGAGATAGAGGATAACTGAGTGAGAGTGTTGAAAGATTAATGATTTGTTGAT